TAGTAGGACGTCCTTGAGCAACTCTTTGTTGAGGGATGATCTGAAAGATACACGCAAATACGAATTAGAAGGAAACTTTTATAGAGTTGAACTCTATCGCATGAAAGAGAGTAACAAGGAAGTAAAATGTTTCTTAAATGTTATAGCCTCCTAATTATAGATGTGACACACTTCACACCAATAACAAGAACTCTACGGACGCGGCTTCATAAACACCTTAGGACTTTGAACTCTATGCTCTGATACCAAATTTGTCACGTCTCGAGCAATCACCCTAGACGTGGCCGGTACTCGAGAACCTTCGCTGGTCCAAGAAAAACCTTGGCCAGGCTCACTACTCAGCAGAAGACTTACTCAACAAAACAAAAACTTCAGTTGTAAAGATCAACTCAAAAGTCTCAACAATAACTCAACTTAGTAAATGTTGTAAAGTACTTAAATAAATAGTAGTAATAATCTCCAAGTCTCAAAACATCAACAAGGGGAAATAGTGAAAGATCCTCAACTACTAGTATCTATGAAGCCTCTAAATACTACAATATATGTCGGGACAAGACTCACGACATCTTAACAATGCTAAAAATGTAAATATGGAACCTTTAAGAAAGTAATGAGGCTCACCAAAGCTAAATGAAATGAAAATGGTATCAACGGAGAACCTGTTGATGACCATGAACACCTATATCTGCATCATAAAATGTTGCAGGTCTAATGACGTCAATACATTGAACGTACGAGCATGTAAGGGGAAAACTAAAAGTAATAGAAATTAAACTGACAAGGCTGGAAGGAATACTCACCTCAACTCAACTCAATATGAAAGCAACAATAAGATTTTCAATACTTAAAGCTTTTAAAACATTAATTATCAAATCAAATTGTATAAAAATACAATAACAAACTCTTTACTCTTATTTGGGAGATTCTCTAACCAACAACCATCACTATGAGCTACTGATGAAACAATATCTCGCCAGTGCTGCCAGAACTGTCATATACCTTTTCTGGGTATAAAAAACCTCAACTAAGTGGATCTACTAAGCTATGCTTAAAAGAAATAAGGAGTCATCTAAAAAGAATGATCCTTTACCCATGCTGGCATACATCGTTTATGAGGATTTTGAGTTGTCTAAACTGATCCCCATATCGGTGTTCAATACTACTCCCAATAATATATAACTCATACTCAAATGTTTAAAAACATAACTCTTTCTCAATTTGAGGTAATTACTTAAAAGATCCTCTTAAAAGAGGTAATACTCTAAAACTCTTCTAAACTTGTAAACTCATTTAGAAATTGATGTTTCTCTTTTAAATGTAAAAGTATTATGTCACGCCCCGAGGCTATCCCCTGGATGTAAACACGGGACCTAGGATCATGAGTAAACACGGGACCTAGGATCATGAGCTGGCATATCATAAGCAAACTGAATATATCTACGAAAAAGATAAACTAATGCGGAAGCTAAATCATGAAATAATTGAATGATGGGGAATACCTAATACTAGTTTGAATATATACAAAATTCTAAGAGTTTAGTGATACTGAACAATCACTCAAAAACTAATACTGAATCTAAACTATGTCTGAAAAAGCCTCTAACTGACTAGAGTTGCTGGAACATGTCCCCAGCTAACCCTAGCAAAACTGAAACTGAAATGAAAGTCCAAATCTGAAAACATGTCTATTATCCTCGAAGTATGAGGACTCACCACTGAAGCAACTGAATATGGATCGGGAACCGATCTACGTGTGATCTGAATGTTGAGGACATGAACCTACATCATGAAAAGATGTAGTGCAGAGTATGCGTCAGTACATGGAAAGTATCGAGCATGCATGATAGGATAAAAGCTGAACAAAACATATAAGCTGAACAATCATAACTGACCAATGACATAATCTAAACATGATGCAAACACTGAAATATACTGAAAAGAACTTAACTGAATGCAATGACCAAGTACATAGCATGTTGAGACTAAATACTGAAGTATAACTAAAAACCTGGTCAAATTCACTAGATTCTAACTATGGGAGCTATTATTAACCGACATAAGACCACGTGATCTAAACATGGAGTCAGATGCATACTCCCCATCGAGAGGACCCGATTTACCTTGCCAGGGGTATAAAGGCATGATTGACATGATTACTAAATCTGATGCCTACAGAGGGAACTTACAAACCTGCAAGGTACATAGTTCTAGTACTATGAGGGTACGCTGAAACCCTAGTCCACTCAATGCTAAGCCTACTCCCAACTGAGTATGTATATGATACATTATGACTGAAAGACTGAATAGCTCAAACTACTAACATGAAAATCCGAGAATGTAACAATTATATACTGATAATGTGACATTCGAAAACTCAAGCATGTATATCTGTTTAACTGATCTAGCATGTGTAATTCATGAACTAAGAGAATCTACACAACTAGGGTTTTGAGTTTTATGCAAAGAACTAAGCAACGATTCCATAAAAAAACATGATAATCTGATTAGGAGAACTCTAACAACTAAATCACAAACCAATATCTAAGGTTTTAGAAACCCTAGGTCTAAGTAAGATATAGGAATCAAGAATCTGACTGAATTCTAGGGACCTAGTGGATGAAAGGAATCCACTAGTGGAATTCCACATACTAGGTGATGACATATATGGAGAAATCTTTCGATTTCGGGGCTGGAACTGAAGAAAATTTGTTGCGTTCTTGGATGGGTTTGGGTCGCCTCTTTTCTCCTCTTTTGTTCTAAGTTTGATGAATTTTTAGTGAATGAATCGCTTAGGGAAAGATCTGACTAAGTTACTAGGCTTAAACTGACCAAACTACGTAGTTTAGGGATCAAACGACATAGTTTAAGTGCCTAAAGCATAGGGGAAAGGACCAAAACGACCTGACTTAATTCTGATGAAGGCCACCCATAGAGGGACCTACGGTCCGTGGGTTGACCTACCAACCGTAGGTAGGGGTCATCGGTCAATTCTTTCCGACAGGGCTTCACTAAATTGATCATAACTTTTTACTCAGAGATGGGATTTTAGAAAACTCGATGGAGTTGGAAAGATGATTCAATTATCTTTCATTTTATAGGTCATGGGCCACATAATTACTTTTGTGCTACGAGTTCTGACCGTTTGAAGTTGACCCAACAATAATTTCCATCTAGCTGACTGTTGACCCATACCTACGGTCCGTATGTCCAACAACGGACCGTACTGGTCTACCGTGGGCAGTGGCGGATCTAGTATTTTAAGGTTGTGGCACAAGTCAAAAATATAAAAAAAAAAAAATGTTAAAAGTGACATTCGAACTCGGGTTCAACAACACCAAAAGAACCTTAAACATCCACCCAAGAGCCAATGGACTAGTGAGATCATTTGGTAATTGGGTGCTCTGTGTTAATTTTATACAAATACCTCTTAATTTCTACACAGATATATATATTCCAAAATGAGGTTAATGGGTGCTCGAGCACCCGGAGGACACCATGGGGTCCGCCCATGACCATGGGTGGGATTAGAGACTATAAGGATTCGGGCCTTAATGACCGAACCCCACCTACGATCTGTGGTCCCACCTATGGTCCGTGGGTGGTTTCGTTGGTATTGGTACCAAATTTTCTGAAAACTAGGATTTTCTTTATTTTGAGACCCGAGGTGTTACATATTACATACATAATCAGTTCCCTTATACTCATTTTAAAAACTGAAGTCAACTTTCCTCATCCTCATACTCATTTATTCAAGACTTGGTTCAAAACTTTAGTTAATTGAGAAAGAGTTCTCAAATTTTACTTAAAATGATATCTTGAACTTTCCTCTTAACTTTACTTTAATTGAAAATGTAAATTAAGAAATGTGATTTAGGATATGTAGGATCTCTCAAGGATTAATGAATACTTTAAAAGTTAATATCAAGAAGAGAGTGAATACATGATTTGAACGAACACACACGGGACGAAGAACGGAGAACAAATGGGCCTGGCGACCCTGGCGCATCAGTGGCGCGACACACTAGGCCTCAAAGTACTTGGAGTACTTTGGGGTGCACTGCTAGCGTAGGGCGCCAGCCCTCCTGGCGTTATGTGGGCGTATTTCCCTAGCCCGAACCCAGAAATCACACAAATTTTCTTGTTCAATTTTTGTCCTAACTCATCTAGAATTGATTGATTTCTTCCAAACTCTCTTGATTCATAAACCCAACGTAAATTCAATGAAATGCCACTCAAATTCTATAAAGAAATACCACTCATTGACAAGACCCTCACATCAAGAACTCAAAACCTCCATTGTTAAAGAATAGAAACTAAAACTCAAGAACTTCTCAAGAATCTCGAAACAAACGATTTCAAGAACGAATTCACTAATGAAATTTCATGATTGGCATGAGGGCAAACAATGCCAACACTATGAGAATCTTACATACCTCTAAAGAACCCTTGTTCTTGGCGAAATTCTTCAATTCTTGGAAGAACGCTTGAAAACCCTATTTTCCTCTTCTTGAAACTTAGCCCTAAAAGTTTAAGCGTTTAGGAATGTGAAAAATAACTTAGCGTCTGATTAGACCCTTAACTAGGGTGGGGTAAGGAAAAGTCCAAAATACCCCTTTCTCAAACGGATGAAATGTCTTAACTAGAGAGGCTTCACTCAAATGGCCATAACTTCTCACTCTGAGCTCAGAATTTAAAAAACTTGGCAACGTTGAAAAGAAGACTCTAAGACCTTCAGTTTGATAGCTCATAGGCTCTCTAATTATTTTTGTGCTAAAAGATATGGTCATTTAAACTTTACCTGAAACTAAAAACTGACCAAAGTTCGAGGTGTTACATTAGTCATGGTTGGTTTAAGCTTTTCCACCTAACTTGTGACATAAATGTGTTCTATAAATTTAATAAAAGCATTTTTAAATTAAAATCATGTCTATATGTATTTAGAGTTCCTACTTTTTGACACTAAATGTCATCCTTAATTGTTATTTTATATTTCAATATAGGGAAAAGGAAAAGTATTTTGTGCTGGAGGAGACGTAGTCCGAGTGATACAATTCATGCTACAAGGTAATAACATAAGGATTATTTTCTTTTTTGGTGTGCTGAGTTATGTGATCATGTCTTCTTTTTAGATTTTAATCTTAATTAATTAGATTTTTGCCAGTCATTCCATTATTTTTATAACTAAATATTATCATTCAGATTTTAGATATTAAGTATTTTTTTTAATGGTAGAACAACTCAATGAGTTTGAATAGAGGATAAAAATAGAATGTCCAACCAGAGAAAATTCTCTCTAGAAAATCGATGATAAAAAAACCTAAAATCCTAGTTACACCTATGATTCATGGTAACATAGCCATTGGCAACCTTTTATGGAGGTCATTCAACCATTGCAATATCCACATATCAACTTTACAACTACAAAGACTACTCTATAACATACACATCAACCCTACAACCCACATATGTAATAAACCCAAAATTCCCCTTGAGTTTAAACCAATAACGCATATTCATAGAGATAATAATTGTATGGGAAGAAGAAGAAGATAAAAGATGATCTTAAGCAATATTCTTAAATATGCAGTTGTTGAAAAGTTCTTATATGGTTGGAAAAATATAAAACAAAGTTGTATAATTCTTATACAGTGTATACCAAAGGGAGAATGCACTATAGGTCTGTTGCATCACATATATGTGCTAATTTGAGTTGCCCTACTAGAAGATTATGTGAATCTGTAATCTAAACAAATTGTTTATCCTATATGAATTGATTGTACCATATGCGTACATTAAAGTGGAAACCTCATGTTCAACACATAGTAAGAAAGGATAATTGTAATTGTGTGGATCTATCTCTTACCTACCTCCAAATTACCTAGTGAAGCAGACAACTTTTCCAATGACATCATTTGTAGGAAAACCTCTTCAAATGAACATGGGTAATGTAATCTAATGAAACCTAGTTGTTCTAGGATTAAGGTAAAGGTGTATCTCTCATCAAAACTTTCTCTATGAATTAACATAAGCACGAGAAAGAAGAACAAGAGGCATATAGTTGAGAAGCGGATACAAATCCAATATAATTATGTTCCAAAACAGAAAAAGCTGCAACTTGCAAGGAGATAATGAGAAAGAATTTTATGTTATTCATCTTGACTTATATCCTAAGGATGAGGAGAAGACAAAATATAGAACAAGAGAAAATACCTAATAAACAACTCAACAACGATTATTTTGTCGTGAAACCAACATATACATCAAAGGATAAAGGGAAGTAGGTGACTCGGGTTGACAATTTTGTTGAACCAAAAACTAAGAATAGTTAGAGGAGAAATAGATAATACCAAAGGGGAGGGAATGATCAAGGACTAAAACGAAAACGTCCATAGGGACTGTTAGTTTCAGTAATTCTTAACAAGCTAAAGCTGAAGAACAGAGAGGAAAGAGATTCTATATTGATGGAATTATGAATATACAGCTTAACTGAAAGAGATGTTTTACAATGCTTTATATAGAAGTGGCTAACTATCTAACTGAATAACAAACTCTAACTAACTCTTCACTATTAATTAAAACTAATTGTCAGCTAACTAACACTAATCAACAACTGTACACTTAATCAGCTGCTCAACATCCTCCCTCAAGCTAGGCGTATGAAAAAAATTCTTCATTCCTAGCTTGGTAAGTAGATAGCTATGCTACAAATAGGTGAGTCCTTTGGTAAGCAGGTCTGGAAGTTGCTCTGTTGTATTTAAGTACACTGGTTGAACTATCCCCATTTGAACCTTCTCCCTGATGAAATGACAATCAATATCTATATGTTTAGTTTGTTCATGAAACACTGGATTGGTAGCTATCTGTATAGCTGATTTGATGTCACTGTGTATGTGTACTGGCAATTTCACTTGAACCCCTAGTTTTTTAAAGAGACCAACCAACCACACAACCTCTGCAACTGTTGAAGCCAAGCTCCTATAATCAACTTCAACTGAGCTCCTTGAAATAGTGTCTTGTTTCTTGGCTTTCCATGAAATTAGTGAATTCCCATATGTAACCATGTATCCTGTTATGGACTTCCTATTGTTTGGGCATGATGCCCAATCTGCATCACAATATGCAGTAAGGTGATTGTCAACAGTATATGCCATAAGTATCCCTAAGCCTGGTGATTGTTTAACATACCTCACCACCCTTAATGTTGCATTCATGTGGGATGTCTTGGGGCTGTGCATAAATTGACTTAGTAGTTGCACTGCAAATGCAATGTCTGGCCTTGTCATTGTCAAATAAAGCAATCTCCCAACCAATTTATGATAAATTTCAGGCTCACTCAACAACTTATCCTGCTCATCAGTAGGAGGGAAGTGTAAATCAATTTCTGCAGTTGTAAGTTTCTGAAATCAGTTCAAGGCAATACTTTCTTTGATGCATAAGGATCCCATTGTTGTTTCTAGCAAATTCAATCCCTAGGAAGTATCTCAACTCACCTAGATCTTTAATCTTAAAGTTGCCTTGGAGGGTCTTCTTTGTTTCCAAGATCAACTTGTGGTCATTGCATGTGATCAATAGGTCATCAACATAAACAAGCACCATCACTAACTTTTCTCCTTGATGTTTTGTGAACAAGGAATAGTCATAATGACTCTGTTGGAAGCTTGAGTTAGCTAATGTTGTGGTCAATTTTATATTCCACTGTCTGCTGACCTGTTTAAGTCCATAAAGTGACTTTTTAAGCTTGCATGCTGTCCCTGTCCCCTTCTCACTTTGATGGACAAATCCCAAGGGCAAATCCATGTAAACTTCTTCAGTCAGATCTCCTTGAAGAAAAGTATTGAATACATCCATTTGGTGTATTTTCCAATGTTGTGCAGCTGCTAAGGCTATGACTGATGTAACAATCACTATTTTTACAACAGGAGAAAAGGTTTCTTGATAGTCCAAGCCTTCCTTTTGATTGTAACCCTTGGCTACTAACCTTGCTTTGAACCTATCAACTTCCTCATCAGTCCTGTATTTGATCTTGTACACCCATTTACAACCTATTGCCCTCTTATCCCTAGGCAGGGTAGTAATCTCCCATGTATGATTGTCTTCTAATGCTTGTATCTCACTTTGCATAGATGTAATCCATCTAGTATCTTGTATAGCCTCCTGATAAGAAGCATGTTCCTTCTCTTGTGAAAATTTAGTGACAAAAGTTCTGTAGGCAGGTATGATGCTTTGATAGTCCATCACATCTGTAATAGGATAAGAGCAATAACTTGCAGCTTTGTTCTTTGACAAAATGTAATCTGTATGCCAAATTAGGGACTTTGCAAGTCTGTTGGATCTTCTGGTAGCAATAGGCAACTGATCAGTTGGTAAAATGCTTGGTTCAGGAGAAGAAACCAAGGGTACTTGGAGATTCAATGGCTGAACCATGACAAGAAGAGTCAGTTAGAGCAGCCTGTTGAGTTATAGTTTCAGGGGCATCTACTGTATTTCTGAATACAACACAAGGTGTAAGGTCACAGTCTTCCATATGTGAATAAGACAATGAAACAACCTGATCTTTGTCTTGTCCAAGATCGGAAGTTTGAAAGGGGAACACATCCTCATGAAACTTGACATCTTTGCTGACAAAATGTATTTTGGATTCAATATCAAGTAGCTTATATCCCTTTTGGCTAGTAGCATAACCAAGCAACACAACTTTCCTTGCCTTTGGTGCAAATTTATCATTCATGTTCAAGTTTGTAGCAAAAACAAGACAACCTATCACCCTGAGGTGTGACAAAGAAGGTTGTTTACCATAAAATATTTCATATGGTGAGTTGTTTTTCAGAACAGACAGTGGGATCCTATTGATAATATAGGTTGCATCTTCTATACAGTCTCCCCAGAACCTATATGGAAAATGGCTTTGGAATTCGATTGCCCTGGCAGTCTCTAATAAGTGTCTATGTTTCCTTTCTGCAACTCCATTTTGTTGTGGAGTGTGTGGGCATGATTTCTGATGAATGATCCCAAGAGACACAAATAATTCACAACAGCTAGAATTCAAAAATTCACCTCCATTATCAAACCTGAACACCGTAACACATTTTCCAAACTGATTCTTTATCATTGTTAAAAAACGTTTGAATACAACAATTACATCAGAGTTCAAACTAACTAAGAAAGTCCAAGTCCACCTAGACTTATCATCAACTAGGGTGAGAAAGTATCTCATACCATTGTTAGTAGTGACTTTTTATGGACCCCAAACATCCATATGCACCAAGTCAAAAATATCATCCACTATGGTACTACTCTGAGAAAATGGAATCCTAGTTTGCCTAGCTTGTGGACAAACAATACAATGATCAATAGTAAAAATACTACTAGCATTAAACTCATTTATTCTTCTAAGTACTCCCATAGGAACATGTCCTAGTCTCTTGTGCCAAAGTTCTGGATCTGTAGTTCCCTCCTTAATTGCAAACATTGTGTGACTCTTCACATTTTGTTGCTTTACTGGCCAGTGCATCACATACAATCCATCTTCTACTTTACCAATCCCCTTGACCTTCCCAGACAACAGATCCTGAAAAACACAGTGAGTAGGGAAAAATGAAGCATAGTAGTTTAACTCTTTTGTCAGTTTGTGTGCAGACAATAGGTTAAACTTGAATGTTGGTATGCTCATAACTTCACTAATCATGTCACATTCATTTAGATGTACACTTCCAAAATGTGAAACTATGGCAGATTCTCCTATAGGCAACTTCACATTCCCTCTACTATTTACTAAGTTCTCATTAATCAAATACTGATGATTGTGTATCATGTGATCTGAGGCCCCTATATCTATAATCCACTTCAAATGAGACTTGGAATTACCTGCCATGTTGACACTGCTTCGAGGGTTGCATCCCTGCAATGTCTCAAGCATTTGTTGAAGCTGCTGTGGTGAGGACTTGTGTAGCAGTTCTAGCCACTACTCATGTGTGTTCTGAGCACCAGGTGTTTGTCCTGTTGCAGTTGTGTGTGCTATCTTGTCCATAGGGACCTGCATATGAGTGTCCTGCTGTTGCATTGAT